TCACACAGTCACAAGATGGAGGAATAGAAAGCAGTATTCAATGTTTACTTCAGATTAGCTCCACGTCAGAAATGATCATGCTTGTCATATGTCTCTCTCCATAGAGGCTGAATCATCATGTTAATCACATAGCTATCATATGCCTCAAACAGTCCTGATGCTCTTCTAGGTAATCACACATCCTGTCATGTTCACAGCTACAGTTGATACCTTTGTTAGCATGTTACTCTCATGTTCGTTAGGATATTCCTAACGAAGTGTTTCCAGAGTTATGGTCCTCACCTGGTCAGCGAACAGCACCATGATGGTGTACTGCCCGGCGCCGGGCGGCGTGTATTTCACTGTGAACGTGTCGTTGTCGTTTTTGATGATGTCGAAGTCGATGTCGGCCTCCGCTGGACCGACAACGCCCGGAGCGCACTTTATCCCGATGCTGACGTCCCCTGCAGGCAATGACAGAGATCATTAACCCTAACATGTCAGAATGTAGCACCTTTGGAGAAGATCACGTTATTCTGAAAAGGAAAAATGAAACCTTTGATAGGGATTGGGTTTACTCAACTGTGAGATCATGTTCATGTGTCAGACATGCTGAGAAATGAGACCAATGGGAATCCACTATGTTGTTTCAAAGACAAATTAACAAACATATTGTCTAAAAATAAAAGAGATGGGGGGGGCTGTTTATGGTAAATGTAATATACAAATAACATTGAATCAGATTCTATTGATTCAGAGGACCCACCCTGCCCGGCGTCGCTGCAGTCCACTGTGAAGTACGTGGGCTCGTTGGCCTTCAGGCCGGCTTTCTCCACGCCCGGACCATAAACCTTCACGTTCTCTGGGTGGCTGCCTTCTCCGATCGTCACCTGGACCCAACGTGCAGGGTTAAGTTATGACATAAAACCTCGTGAAAATAGCAATCGCTTCAACAAAGACACGAACTTCCCCGGGCGCTGTACAATAGCTCCTGCTCCTAGTGCAGAGACCACCCGTCACTGTGCGCTCTGCATGTAGACCGTTAAAGAGGCTTTCCCTCCCAGTTCTATTCTAGAGCTGCACAGGTTCACAATAAGTGCAGATCACATTCTACCTCAAATACTAAATGAAATGTTGTTTATTTAAAAGTATTGATTTCATTCTTTCCATTATCTGTCATTTAATGGTCATATTTCTTGCATTTGTCTTTTTGTGTGTTTTTTCTTTTTGTCTGCATCCTTATACATAAATGTTAGTCTCTGAGTCAAATGAAATGTTCAAAATCCAAAGAACTTCCCTTTAAAATGATTTAGAATCGTGTAAAGCAGGAAATATGAATATGTTAGAGGCCGGAAAAAACCATTAAAGATGTTGTTTTGACAATATATCAACTGTTGATAGTTCTCGAGTCATCAGTGAGTTAGCTCTGGTGGTGCAGAGGAGGTTTGGGGGCTAGCTGTACCCTGAAGGGGCTGCTGGGCACGTTGACCTCCCCCCAGGTGATGATGATGGTGTGTTTGATGGGTTTGGTGGGAATGTAGACGCAGAAGAAGGAGCTGTCTCCTCGGTCTGTGATCTGGATGTCGATGGGGAGTCCCTCTGCGTCCTGGAGGCACAAACACACACTTCAATAACGCTGAAGATTCAAGGCTTCCCTTTTCAGAGCTACCGTGGAGAGGCTCCTCCAACAGTTCAACAATCAAACAGACCAAAGTGTTAAAAGCACACGACGAAAAGTAAACAAACACTGAAATAATAGGAGAAAAGGCGGAGTTGGAGAGGAGCCAGAGACGATGCAGCCATGTTCACGGAGCAGACACGAACAACACGTTCTGGATGAAGGACGGACGGTGTTCGTTGGTACCTGAGCGTAAAGCTTCAGCTCTCCTCGTCCCGCTCCGTTGGTGTCGATGGTGAAGTCTGCCGCTTTGTTCACGATGCAGCCGAGAGGCTCCAGACCGGGACCGAAGCACTTCACCTGACGAGGAAACATAGTGTACCCACGTTACATTTACAGACATTAATAATGGAAACCAGATCCATGTCTGTTCTGTCCAATGATCGTGTCATCATTTATCATCACACATAAGCTATGTCTTTTTCTCTGTTCCATTGTGTTTGTTAGTCTTGTATGTGTGTAACAGACGCATGCTAAGGACTGTTATTCCACGGGGGGTAAAAGAGATTTGCGAATGGTTAAAGGACTGGGGTTTGATGGGTTAGGGGTGGGGTCTTTAGGAAGGCCTGAGGTGGTTTATGGGCGGGGCCAGTCGGTTCAGCTGTCTGTGGCTCTCTTTCTGCTGTAACAACGCTGATGTCCCCTCGGTGACTAATGAAGGCATTCTGATCGTGTTCCTGCATTCCAGATCCATCTCACTTGTGTTTTGACTTTCTTTATTACTTTATCAAATATAACAAAAGACAAACTTTGTCAAAGACATCAGTTTCTCTTGAGGGAATTAGAATCTCCTCCTGGAGGTTTTTGGTCCTACGTTTTCCGGGTAGACGTCGTTGTTGGCGGCCAGGATGTGGGCCATGAAGGGACTGTCCTTGATGTCCTCGTCGTCACAGATCACGTGCACGGCGTAATCTCCGGCCTCCGTGGGCCAGTACCGGACGTCACATGACCCGTCGCCTTTATCGTCGCATTCGATCTTCGCCTGAGACGGACCCTCGATGGAGAAACCTGCAGATAAAGGTAGATAAAGGTAGATAAAGGTAGGTAAAGGTAGGTAAAGGTAGATAAAGGTAGGTAAAGGTAGATAAAGGTAGGTAAAGGTAGGTAAAGGTAGGTAAAGGTAGGTAAAGGTAGGTAAAGGTAGATAAAGGTAGATAAAGGTAGGTAAAGGTAGGTAAAGGTAGGTAAAGGTAGGTAAAGGTAGATAAAGGTAGGTAAAGGTAGGTAAAGGTAGATAAAGGTAGGTAATAAAGGAAGGTAAAGGTAGGTAAAGGTAGATAAAGGTAGATAAAGGAAGATAACAGAAACACACCGGATAAACTTCTATACTCTCTGAGAGCGTAAATGTCCAATGAAGAAGCGTGTGAACTCTCCGGTGTTTCGTTGTTACGTACCGAGAGTCCCCACCTCCGTGCCGATGGCCTCCACCACGAAGTCAGCACTCTTCCCGACTACACCTGTCTCCAGACCCGGACCCCAGGCCCTTACTTTCTGAGGCCCCGCCTCCTCGCTCACCTGGACCTCGAACGGACTGAACACACACACACACACGCACACACACACACACACACACACACACACATATTATAATCCCATATAGACAGATTTAAAAACGATGC